GTATATATAATATATAAATATTTATTTGCTATTTAATATCTAACGTTATTTAATCTACGACTGTAATTAATCAGATGGGCAGACAACACCGTTATTATATTATTTAAAAGCCATAATTTTTGCTTTGAAGGTGAGAAGTTAATTTGCTTTCTGCCGCATCAGTCACAACACGGAGTCGCGGTACAAAAGTCCTTGCAAAACAATTTAATTTTCACCTGAAATAATTTTTAAGTGCATTAAGAACGTACAGTTATAGAAAAACAAAATAATTTCTTAGTTGAAAATGGGTGCAAAGGATTCTCAAGTAACTAGCACACTGTGGGCCAGAATTTTGGAAAGAGTGGAAATACTTATTTGGGTGGTTAACCAGGCTTGTATTGGTTTCGTGACGATATATATGTTTTGGATATGTATATACCAAAACATGGACACCATGCAATTGCATGCTTTTCTAGTGACCCTTGGGGTAAGCGAATTCTAAACATAAAAAGCTAATACGTGAAAACCTCAAGTGATTTTTTTTTTTAATGTTGCAGTTCTCCCTACTAATGGCCGAGGGTATTATGTGTCACTATAGCATCAATCCGCTGACGAATGGTTTTAAACGCAAAGCTAAAACCACCATACATTGGGTGCTGCTGGCACTCGGCGGTGGCTGCGGAGTAGCCGGTTGTCTTGTGATGATTGTGATAGTGAAATTCCAGATGGATCAAATTCATAATCGTTTAGGTAAGCTAGTAGCAATATCTATATATAATATATACTAAACATCAGCTATAAATTTTCCCAATGCTTGTCTACGAACAGGTTTTGCTGCATTTATACTCTGCCTCGTCAGCATGTTATCAGGCTTGAGCGCTCTGTTTTCGAAAAATTTACGACGCATACTAAGTCCCTTATTTAATAAGGGCTTTCACAATTTAGTTGGCTTTGGCACGTTTGTAACGGCACTGCTTGCGCAATTCTACGGCTACGAGTTCTTCCATCACAGCATACTATGGTCCTTCGTAAGAGTATTGCAAGTGGTGACCCTTGTGTCGCTAGTGCTCACTTCGATCGGGCCTCTTAAGGCACTTTATAAGAAGATTACAAGTTTTTTCGAATAATAATCAGCACGTAGATTCTCAATTGAGTAGCTGCAAGTGTTATAAAGTTTAATAAGTATTATGCATTTTATTGTATTTATTGTTGTATTATATTATTTTTTATTGTTGTTATTAATTGTTAAGATAATTAGATTTAGATAATAAAAGTGTTTTATTAATAGTATTTGATAAAAGTCAAGGCTTTTTACTTAACTAAATTAATAGCCAAGGTTTTCGAAGATCTACCTTATCAGTGTGGTTTTAGACCTGGAAAATCAACAACCGACCAGATATTCACCACGCACCAAATCTTGGAAAAGACCCGTGAAAGGAGAATCGACATTCGAGCTGCAGAACTTAATCGAGCAAGTACAATCTTTTATAAGAGTGCTGCTGGCACTCAACACCCGCGCCGTTAGTTCTGTTTTCTCCAGACTGGACTGGCAGTGAACGAGGGCAAAGCGAAATATCTCCTGTCATCAAACAAATAGTCGTCACACTCGCGACTAGCCACCCACATCCCTGTTGACAGGCATAACTTCGAAGTTGTAAATAATATCGTCTATCTTGGAACCAGCATCAACTCCAACAACAACGTCAGCTTTGAAATCCAAAGCAAGGCACTCGAGAAGTAAAGTCCGCTCTCGATGAACAAAGACCTACCTCTATAACTCACCAAACTCTATAAGTTTCCGTCCTGCTATACGGTACAGAGGCATAAACGATGACAATATCTGATGAGTCAACGTTATGAGTTTTCGAGAGAAAGGTTCTGCGGAAGATGTATGGTTCTTTACACGTTAGCCACGGCGAATACCGCATTCGATGGAATGATGAGCTGTATAAGATGTATGCCGACATTGACTCAGTTCAAGCGAATTAAGAGACAGCGGCTACGTTGGTCATGCCATACGTACGAATGAAAATACTCCAGCTGTGAAAGTTTTCGACGCAATACCCGTCGGGTAAAACAGAGGAAGATCTCCACTCCGTTAGAAAGACCAAGTGGAGAAGGACCTGGCTTCGCTTGGAATCTCCAATTGGCTCCACGCTGCGAACAGAAGAAACGACTGGCGCGCAGTTTATAACTCGGGTATAATAACGTAAGCGGTGTCTACGCCAGTAAAGAAGAAGTTTTCGAAGATATATATTTAATATTGACCCATGTAGTTTCGATAGGTTACTTCTCCGTTTTTTTTTTTTTTGTACATAATGGTTCTTAAGGCCATTAAAAACAAGACCCCTTTTATATTGACGGGAAGTACATTAAAGTCAATAAAAAAATGTATGTTTTATTAAAAAAAGGTTAATTGTTTATTGAAAATTTGTATTAAGATTTATTTTATAAACATTTTTCTTTAATTTTGTAAATGTTTGTTACATTTTTTTTTAATTTTTATTATATTTCCTAAATTTTTTTAAAGTTCTTTTAATTTTTAAACTTGTTTTTGTTTCATTTTTTTTTTTATTAAAAAAGAAAAATATTTACTTATTGAAATATTGTATTAAATTTTGCACAATCTGGTTTTTAAATTTTTTCTTTTGTTTAATTATAATTTTAATGTTTAATTATAATTTTTTAATTCTTAAGTATGAATAAAATTACATTAAAGTATGTATTTAGTTTTTGTTTAATATTTTTTTATTAACAAATTTTTTCACCAAATAAGACACATGAAAAATTGTTTTTATCCTAAACGGAAGTATAGTCGTTTTCACTTGTGTCGATCGCTTAAAAAATATATCCACCAAACAAGCATTGCACTCTAAAATCTTTGTATTCTAACCAAGGTAATAGTTTTGATTGAAACCTTTCTGGTTTATTATATTCTCATTAATAGCTGAGACTCTTTGTACGGATATACATAATTAAGTGCACGCACCAAAACTGTTTGCGTTCAATCACCGTTTTCATTGATCATCGATCGGAAATGCTTATTGTCCGCAATAGTCAGCTGTTAATTACTTTCACGTTTGGTTCGTATAACTTGCATTCACTTAAGGCGCCAAATTCTCATTTGCTTACAACACGATCACGCTTCTCACATAAATACATTTTTTACTTACCACTGCCTGCCACGGAATCTCTAGTAGATACTTTTTGGTAATTTTGGCAATTTTGAACTAAATTATATGTTATAAATCACAGTTTTTTATTATCACACCAACAAAGCCACTTCAAATATAAATTTATATTAGATTAAACGCTTTCGCGCACAAATGACTTACTCTTGTTGAGTTTGTAACACGACTGATTTGGCTGAGCGCTCCTTTCAAGCCACAAATATTCACTTTCAATTCATTTACAACAATAAAATAAGAAAAAAAGTGTTTGACTCATTTGAAAAGCTCACTGCAGTCACGGCCACGTTGTATACATTGAACTTTTTCAAAGAATCGGCTAAACTTGTACGCAGAATATCACGAACGAAGTGACGTCACGATCCAGCTTCGCTGCGGCCAGTTAGCGCTGGATTGGGAAACCCCCAGCTATTTGGATGAATTAACGAAATTGTGCAATAAAACAACACAGATAAACCAAATTGGTGACGTTATCAAATTGTTTAATGTATTGTTATGTATTGCCCGTGAGAAAAAGATATGGAAAACTTCAATAATGCTATGTTTACATTAAAACTTTATCATAATAATTAAATTAAAATTTATTATGCCAGTATTCAAATTTGACTAGGACTGATCCATTTAAACTGGGCACGCATGTTTTTTATGTTCGTGCGAAGTCTGATCTCCATATGTAGATTAGGTTAGATTATGAGATCGATTCTTAAAGGTATCTCACTGGGACAGCCGGTTCGTTTATGTCTTCTAGTTCGCCGAAGGTAATACTGATGAAAAACTGGATAATGGAGGAGAAAGGGCCTGTATATTTTCGTCTCATCCCTCCTCCATCTAACTTTGACAACTTGCTTACACGATTTTTTGCCTTACCTCATGAATATCTATCGTCTAGTAAGTCCCCAGTGTCTAGTAAATGCAAAGTGTCTGGCAAGATGAACTTTTTTAAGATCTCCATGTATGGTGTATGTTTGATAGCTGTTTGTTTACGACGCGAATGGCAATTTTTATCACGAAGAAATAAAAATGTAAAAAATTTTCTTGTAGTATTATGGCATTTTACAAAAAGTTAATATTTCTCGTCTTTTCCTTTTAAATTGTTTTTGATGAAATGAAATTTTGAGAAGTTTATGGAGACGATGCTGTATCAGTTTGTCTAGCACAACAATGGTTCGCTCGCTTCCGTTCTGGAAATTTAGCTGTGAAAGATGCAGCTCGCTCTGGTCGACTTATGGAAAAGATTGACCAGGACCATCCCATAAGCAGGCACGACATCGCTTACGAACTTAACATTCATCATCGAACGATTTTGAACCATTTAAAAACGGCTGTCTACAAAATTAAGCTCGATGTTTGGGCACCACATGAATTGCGTTCTTTTGCTTTAACGAAATGAAATCGAACCATTTCTGAATGATAACAAGAGACGAAAAGTGGATCAAATACGACAATAATATGCGAAAAATATCATGGCCCAAGGGTGGTGAAGCTCAACAAATGGTCGCAAAGCCAGAATTGAGGCCGGGAGGGAGGGATTGCAAAGGAATCATCGGCTTTGAGCTGCTCCAGCCTGGACGAATGACATTTTACTGCCAACAACTGATAAGGATGAAGAAAGCAATCAAAACGGTCAGAACTGATCAACAGAAAGGGCTTCGTCTTGCAGAACTTCGTTAATGGAGTAAAGTTGGCTTTAAGGGAAGTCTGTGAAAATTACTTGTCACAGTTTTTCGCCGAGAAACCAGAAAAATTTTACCCTAGTGGAAGAATGACATAAAGTGGTCGATCAAAATGGTACATATTTGATTCATTAAAGTTCACTGGGTATGTTTTTGCGAGGAGAAAATTATTTTCAGTTTCAACATTTTTAACTCAAAACCATTTCAGAAGCTAATCACTATTGCTACTTATGCATTTTATGTTAGTTATTTGATTGTTTTTCCATTTAAACTCATAAAAGTGCTACTTAAAGTATTATGTGTTTAATTATTATGCTATTAAAATGGAATTTAACTAAGAATATTATTTGCTGTAAACACGTGATTGCATGTATTGAACTACAAAGTTTAGGATTTGCCAATTCATCTACAAAAACTCTGGTTTTTCGTGAGCTAATTCAATAATTATATAGTTATTTACTAACATACATCTGAATTTACGGTTGGCAAGTACAGCACATTCGAATTTTGCTAATTATTGCGAAAATTAAACAAAATGAGAAACAAATTGGAGGTAAAACACTCAGTCAATGTCAAATCGCATTCGCTTTGTACTCACAAACGATATTTTGAAAGTAAAATCTGTATATGCATATATGCAAGTAGATATATACAATATATCATTTTATTGCGCATTCACTCAGGAGTATAGATCAGTGCTTTGGACAGCACCAAAGTTTCGTTTAAACAAGCACACGCAATGATCTACATAGAAGTTGTGCTTACAAAAACTGTATAGCTGCAAAGTAAGTCAAGAGACCACAAAAGCCATATTTAGAGCTGCATCTAACAGTGTAATTGAGGCAACATATTTTTTTGCACATATTTAAGCTCAAAAAACTATTAGCTTAATGTCACATAAAGGTCAAATAGCTGAAATCCGCCCCTGGAATTTTACTTTGCGTTTTTATCTATGCAAAATTTTGTGATTCGTTTAGAAATTCAAATTTAGTTCGTAATATACATAGAAGACCCCGTAAGTGTGTATTTGTATGCCTAAACTACATACATTTACCTCAAGTGCTGTATCTACCAGTCGAGTGTCTTGCTAAAAAGTATGTAAGGGGTGATCCATTTCGAGGTTCCCTACATTTTAAAAGAAAAACACAGAAACTTCAAATTTTATGGGGAATGTTTATTACCATTCGAAACAAAATTCTCTGACATTTATTTTTTGAAGATTATCTCTTTCGAATGTTGGCCGCGGCTACGTCTCAGATGGTCCATCCGTTGCATCCAATTTTCGATGACTCATTTGAACATTTGGACT